AACAAGAGCTAAGAAACATCCAAGGGAAACTTAATACCGGGGATCAGCCATTCTAAGAGCTCTCACCTGGACAGCATGGACGTATAGACATCGTTTGCCTGGTCTCGCTCTCTGTTTTTCCTTACAGCAGGAGAAATCTCTTTTCGCACCTTCACCAAGTCATCCACTGTGTTGAAGGACAGCTTGATGTAGTTCCGCTTCAGACCCACCAAGTGATTTGGCTGCAAGGTAATGAGATCATAAGGGTGGAAAAGCATATTAATTACTATCAGTAAGCAACAAGCAGTAAGTAATCCATTTCTGATATGCACTGCAAACAGCGCTAGGAAATTGAGGCCAAGCATGCAGTTTCCCTTCAGCACTCAAGAGATGTGGTTGATGCCCCAGGTCTGTCAGTGTTCAAGAAGCATTTGGGCAATGCCCCCAGTAACACTTTCGGTTTTGGTTAGTCTCGAAGAGGTCAGGCAGTTGGACTACACGATCTTTGAAGATCCCTTCCACCAGGACGGTTCTCTATTTTACTTATATTCAGCAGAGATAGAGAGTCAGAAAAAAATGTTACTCAACAGTACAGCGTGCAGAGGAATACAGACCAGATCCAAGTCTTCTTTGGGGACAGTTTCCAGCTTTGCAATTTTCCCTTGGAATTTCTTAGAAAGGAAGGAGGACACTTCTCGCTCACAGCCCTGTGAAGGAATTGCAACTGAGCACCGCAGCCAGGCACTGCCCTACCAGAGAAGACAGCCTCAAAGGTGGTTCTGAGTGCTGGCACAGCAAGGTAAGGACAGGGGCTGCCCCCAAAACTAGTCCCTTCCAATAGGGAGGTTTTGGCTGCCAGCTGACAGAGTGGTCAGACTGGGCCCAGGTTTGCAGCTCACAAGGTTAATTTCTGTACGACAGATGAAAAGGGGGGTGAGAGCAGATGGTCACCACTGTCCAGGCTGTGGGAAACAACTTGAGAACTAAGAAAAAGAACAGGGGAGAATACGAAACAGGCAGTGCTGGGGATAGCTCCTCACCACGATGAACAAGCTTGGACGAGTCCCAGCATGGCCAATGGCCACTTCCCACCAAAGCTCTTCTCCAACCACCCCAAGGAAACCATGGACAGAAGCACTGTCACTGCTTTTTTCTCATCCCAAACCAGGGTGCCCACGAGCCCCTGCAGCTCTCCAGGGTCCTGTGCCTCCCAAGGGGCTCAGAGAGCGCAGCTCCACACCCGTTCTCACCTGCTGGGTGGCGATGTAGAAGTAAGGTCTGTAGGGCAAAGCCACCTAGGAGAGAGCACAGAGGTGACAGCCGTGTTTCCCCGCTGCCATTGGCACCCTAGGGGGGCAGCGGGCAGGGCAGGCACTGCACCCACCAGCACCTGGGCACGGACCCACCTTGAAGCGGCTCCCATCCTCCTGCACAAAGTAATAATCCACAGCGCTCACCGGCCGCCGGTCCTCATCCAGCACCTCCGTCTGCACACGGGCAACGCACCCTCAGCGGGGCGATCCCGGACCCACGGGCGCCTCTCCGTGGGCACCCCCCGGGACCTCCCCTCGCCCCCCAACCCAGGGCTGGCTGATCACCGCCCCGCCGGCCCTTTACCGGATGCATATTGATGAGCCAGCCCGTCCTCTCGCCGGGCTCCGAGGGCCGCTCGAAGCCGAACAGAGCATCCAGCCGGTCCGTGCGCTGCGACCGCTCCAGGCGCTTGAGGGCGGACAGCGCGGGGCCATCGTCCCTGCGAGACGCGCCACCGTCAGCCGCCACCCCCGGGGCTGCTGTCGTTGTCACTGTCGCCGCCCCCTCCCCCGACCCGTCCTCACCTCGCCCCTTCGGGATCGGGGTCGCCGCCGCCGCCCGGCTCCGCTCGCCCCGCACCGCCCCGCCGCCGCATCCCGGCCACCGCCGCGGGAGGAATTTGGCGCGCTGGCGCCCGGTTCCCGCGAGAACCGCGAGGCCCCGCCCCCGCCGCGGCGAGCAGCACCAATCAGAGCGCTCCCCTTCTCGCCTCCAGCCAATCACGGCGCGCCCCGCCCATGGCGCGCCCCGCCCGTGGCGCGCCCGGCCCCTGGCGCGCCTCCTTCTCCCTTCCCTTGCGGTGCCGCTGGTTCAGCGCCGCGCGTTCCCGTTCCCTGCTAGGCAGCAGCAGCGCTGCTCGCTGGCCAAGGGGCTGAGCAGGCAGAAGGTGCTCCCACCGCCATCAGTGGGAGCGCTGGAGACAGGGCGAGGATGGGTGTGGGAACACAAAGGCAGAGCTGAGGGTGGTCAGGCTGGGGGCAGCCCGGGGGGCTCTCCATCTAGGGCTCCTACAGGTCTTGGACGTGAAGTTTTTGTCTCTCCCTGCACCCTGCAAGACAAGGAGCTTCTAATTCAGAGCACAGCTCGCTCAGAAGCTCTGAAATCAATCCTGACTGCAAGTGCTTCGTGAAGACATGGGGCAGTAGTGGGCAGCAGAGTGCTGACGCCGAGGGTCGATGCAGTGGGCAGCGCTTCCCAGTTTCTCCTCCCTGCCCGCCCCCTCCAGCCACCCCTTGCTTGCACCAGAGCACGGGCACCCAGATCCATCTCCAGGCTGGGCCCTGATGAAGTGCTGTGGCCCTGGAGAAATTAGGCTAGGATACTGCATGAAAGCTACTGGACAGTATTTGAAGCAAGTGGGAAGCAAAAGCTCTCAGTCAGAAATTCCTGAAGCTGCTGGACAGACAACCCTGCTGTCCTCTCTGCTGACAGCTGATCTCAGGCTCACCCCTACCAGCCCAGAGCTGTCACCCCTGTGGGAGTGGGAAAGTGTGTCCCTGGGCAGGGCATGCCAGACCTTTAGGCTGGGAGCTGGCTGAGAGCAGAGTGCACCCGATGCCACAGGGACCAATGCGTGTTGGCTGGGCAGTTGGTTGCAGAGGGTAGAAAAGGTGGCAAGAGTTTGTCAGAAATTAGAAACGGTGTGGGTGTGGGAGAAAGTGGAGAGAGAAGAGACAAAGTCTTAGCTGGGAGAACTGACCAAGGGAGGACAGATGGCTGGGTTTAATTTGAGCTTCACCAGGAATTTATATTCTGCAGAACTTCCAGTTCTGTACTATTTCTGTCATTCTGGAGGGCTAGATTTAAACGATCTCTTCCCATCCCCACGGCTTTCCCTTGATCCACGCGTACTTGGTGCTGGTCCCTGTCAGGACAAGAGGTAGCAGAAAACCAGCACTGGGTTGCAAGCATCAGAGTGCATCTGGCTGCGGAGGCAAACACCTAGCCCTTGTGTTTTCAAGCTCTCTCTCCTATGAAAAATGGAATAGAAACAACAGAACCCGTGAGAAGCAAATTTCTGTCCCTCACCAGGCCATCTTTAAACCCCACTCTTTCTACCTGGAGGAGCATCTCCAGTGTGAAGAGTTTCTTGGCACAGTGTCTGTCCTAGCAGATAAAGTACCTTTGCCTGAAGCTGCTCAGTCAGGATATAGAAGCTATCAGAGGATCCTGGCTCTGTTATAACGTATGGGATGCAACAACTCTACCAGTTGTTGAAAGTCCAATTAAGTATTATTTATGGACAATGAACTGTATGAGCTGTATCTCATCCTCTACTGTAACAGAGGTATGAGGAAAAGTGTCGCTCTGGTCCTGTTCCTACTTTGAAATAAGTTCACTACAGACAAGATAATGAAGGACTTGGGACCACACCTTAGTCAACATCCTTGAAAATCCTTCCTGAATAGCAGCTACAACAAGTCCAGCAGGTCTCACCTCATGATCTCTGCCATAAGGAAAACCAAATGGAACCCCCATAACCTTGTCAGCATGGCTTTGGGGTGGGCTCCGTGCTGTTTCAGGGGATGTGTATCATGAAGTACCTTTGTCATTTGTAATCACAACAGCTTCTTGCACCTCTGGCTTTGAGAACTTGTAAGAGACATTCTGGTGGTAGAATCCAGCTGAACATGAAGACTTCTCATATTTTCTATTTTGCTTTTTTTTTTTTTTTTTTTTTAAAAAAAAAAAAAAAAAGGAACTATCCCACTTACTTCAGGCATTACCACTATGTGAGATGTATTAGAAACCTGGTAACTGCAGCCAAAGAGTAGAGAGCTGAATGGAGGAAGCTTGGGAATAATCTTCGAGTTCATTTCTTCATTTTCAGTGATGTGGTGGCTTCTTGGAGCTGGAACACCCAAAAGACAACCAGATTGGAGATCAAATAATTTCAACCCCTACTTCTAAATCAAGGTTGGCTTCATTCTGCCTAGTGTGGGCCCAGGTCACAGCCTCTCCACAGCAGATTCTCTCTAAACTATTCCAGCACTGCTCACGTGCAATCCAAGGAGTGCTGCGAGCAGGACGTGCTAATAGGGCAGGCAGGTAGTGCAGGCAGTTTGTGCAGGGCAGTTCAGGCAGGGCAGGGAGCCATGGGCCCCCGCTGCCAGCTGTACTGCATCCCTTGGGAGCGAGCTGTTGTTAACAACTAAAAAATGTATCTGAGCATCCCAGCTAAGCTTTTCGTATTGTTTGGATCAGGGAGCAATAAAGGTGTGCATTAGAGGGCAGTCAACGACCTGCACAGCATCAGGGAGTCATATAATCAGACAGCAGTGACCCAAGACAGTCTGCGTGTAGGGGAGAAAAAACCTTTCTATGTATCCAGGGGCATCTCAAAATTCACAGAGGAAAAACAGAATATATATCTGGGGCATGTGCAAGGAAAAGGCATACAGAGACTGACATTCCCCCAAACGGAGTCTGATGGATAAGGAAAGCAGTTTATTGGGGAAAGCAGAAAACATGCCGGGCAGGCAGGAGGGGGAATAGATCCCCGTCTCCAAAGCGAGTAGAAAAACGTAAATCCGGAAGGGCAACGTAAAATAAGTGATCCGGGAAAGGATGAGGCTGGCTGTTCCCAAGAAGGCAGGAGTAACTGTGCCCAGGCAGCAGATGGCGATGCCCTGCCTGGCTCTTCAGCAGCAGAACAGCAAAGGCCGGGCTACGGGGCAGCAGCAGCGGCTGGCCCCGACCCCCTCCGCCGCTCCGTGACGCTCGCCACCGGGCTACCGAGCCCGGAGGGGCAGGCAGGGACCTCCCGGTGCCCCGGAGCATCGCTGGACTTGTCCTCTCCGCCCCTCCGAGGCCTGCTAACGGGTCCTGCTTCACCCCACGGGCTCACCCGCACCCGGCCCCGCAGCCCCGGTGCCGGTGCCGGTGCCTCCGCTCCTCCCCGCTCCGCCCCGGCCCGGCCCGCACGGGGGCGGCCGCGTTTTTTTTCCACCCCCCCCCCCTCTTCCACCTTTCCTCGCTGCCGCGGTGCTGCGGGACGCGCCGGGACCCGCAGCCGCTGCCCAGGTACCGGGGAGGGGGAACCGCAACGGGGCGGGCACCGGAGCCGCTCCCGGAGCAGCTCCGGGCTCGGCTCCTCGCCGGGAAGGGGGAAAAAAAAAGGGGAAAAAGAGAGGGGGGAGACCGCATCCAGGGTGCCCACCGGTGTCCCCCGAGCCCAGCAGGACGGCGGCTCCCGGCCGGCGGAGCGGGGGCTGCGCTGCACCGGGAGCAACCTGCGGGGCCGGGGGGAGAGCGGCCGGTGGCACTGCGGGAGAACCCGCCTGCTCTTCCCAAATGCAGCAAGAAATCAAAGCAGCTAAAAATACGGGCCACGGTCGCTGGCGAAGGAAACGCTGACGTTTCTCGTGACCCCCATCCCCCCCCCCAGTTTTGAATGAGCCAAGTGCTCAGCGTGTCCTCCAAGTTTAGGGGGACGTGGTTTGTCCGTCTCTGGGGACCGTAATCCCACCTGGGCAAACAGCCACGGTTTCATGGACCAGCAGCTGGTGGGCTGGCAAAATGCATATGATCCAGATATACATACAGATGTAAATCTGCCCTTGCATGAGTGAATGGGGGACCGGTTAAGTGGGTAACTGCATGGTCTTCTCTCTTTGAAAGCATCAAATTGTCAGTGTGATGGATGGAAGCTCAAATTTGGTGGTTTTGTGTTTAGCTGTTAGCCTTGGAAAACATTCCCATGACAAACTCCTTTTGCGCTGCTTGCAGCTTCTGTAGGAAACATGATTTTCTCTTGTGCAATAGTGAAACAGCAATGATGGCAAGCAGGAGAAGGTCTTGGCTGTAATAGAGCGATTGAGAACTAAACCTCTTTTGTGTTATGAAATACTTTGATTTTTGCATCAAGCAGTCTGCACCTGTGAGACTTTTCAGCATTTCTCTATTTATTGGCATACCTTTGAGATCTGAACCAAATCTCTTGTTTAATTATTAATTTCAGAACATTTCCAATCCAGCTTGCAGAGGATGTATTAGAGCGGTGGCAATGAGAGCACTGCTGACTGAGCCTTTAACCTGGAGCCTATAAATTGCTGAAGCAGCAACCAGTAAAACAGTTGTGGCTAATTGTAGTCTGATGGAGTGTTCCTGCTGTGCTTCTTCAGGAGCAATCAGGGCATGTTGAATGGCAGCTTTGTAGCTATATTTGCTGCCACTGGGAATCACTTCTAGTGGCATGTGCACCAGGATGAGGGTTTCTCCTCATCCTCAGTGACTGAGCCAGAAGAGATGGGGCTGTTGTACCACATCTGTAAGGCTGCAGGTATGTACAAGCTATTCTTGGCATTTTGCATTGTAAATTTTGCTTCTGTTTCTCATGGACATCAGAAAGCACCCAACACCGCCAAATCCATGCTGATGCAAAGCAAACCCCTGGCTGCCCAAGTCAGCTCCCAGGGACAGGTGTGAAAATGGCAGAAAACTGGGAGTGGGAGTGTTGGGCAGTGGGAGAGGAACTGTCTGGAGAGCTGCTGGGAGGAGAAAAGGGGGGTAAAGATGTGGGGACCTCAGGGTGCATGGGACCAGGGAAGACAGGAGGAAAGGGGGTCCCTGCTGCAGCTCCTGCACGCCAGCCTCTGTGAACTCCACTCATCACCGCCTGGGCAGGGGATGTGGTCGGGTGCTGTGTTGGTGCATGGCAGTGTGATGGCATCAGGATGGCATCACCTCCTTGAGACAGGGATGGGAGGCAGCAACACAAGCAAGTGCATTTCCCTCCCCATTTGTGCACCCTGTGCCAGGAGATCAGTTTGTATAAGCACCAGGAGCCAGATCTCAGGGGTTTGTAGGACCCCATGTGCATACTTCGTAGTGCAGTTCCTGAAAGAGGTGATACTGTAACCTCCAGGTTGGAGACACATATATTGTCACCCCTAGATTATTTTAAAAATACACATTTGACTCACTCTAAAAATGCACGTTGCCCTGATAACACAGAGCACGCAGCATGACTGGGTCGGTGCTGGGCAGTGCTTCAGCACCCCTGATGCTCTGGCCACACATGGGCTGTGTTTGGAGCTGTGTGTCCAGAGGAGAGTCCTGCTTTCCTTGGCAGCAGAGCCTGTGTTATTCTGGAGATGGAGCCAAGAGCCAGCCCTGGGGCAGCTCAGCTCCACAGAGCCAGACCTTGCACGGAACTGGAGCTTCTGACACCGAGCTCCTTGAGTTCCCGTGGGGGCTTCGGCCACCGGTCTGTGCCCTGGGTGGAGGACAGATGCCATGACTGGCAGAGAATAAGGTGCATTCAGCTGGGGATGCTGGCTGCACTTGATGCCATGGTTTTGGCAGGTGTGCTGGCTGGTGGGTTACAGGGGCTGCTGTGGGTCTTGGTCATCATTGAAGGTGAAAGAGCAGGAAAAGAGCTGTGCTGGAGAGGGTGTCAGACCGGGGAGAAGCTCGCAATGGAATTCCAATAGGGATCCACCTTACATTTTTTAATGAATGACCTCTGCCCCACACAGCAGCAGATGCTGATGAAATTTGCCGAGGATGGTGAGAGGCATCCCTGGTGGCTGGGACCTCCCCACCGAGCAGGGAGATGGAGGAGAAGAGGTGCACAAGGCTGGGCACTGGAGGGGGGGGGGGGGGAAAGTTTCTGCTGTGAAATAGGAGCTAACCTGTAGGAAATGAGGGAGGTGGACAGCCTGGGGCAGCCATCTGGAACAGGGGGATGTGCAGTGACCACCCTAAAACCTTTCATGTGGTGGGGGCATGTCTAGAGGGATGGGGAGCTGGGATGTGCTGCTGTGTGCTGCAGGTGGGGAAGGAGGGCTTGGAGCCCCAGCATCGTTCAGGACTCAGTGGGAAGGGGGACACCAGCAGGTCTGGGGGTGGTTGTTAGCTGGTGAGGGGTCTGGGGGCTGTCAGCAGGGACAGAGCCTCAGGATTCACAGCGAAGCCCAGTGCCTGAGTCTGCTCTCAGCCTGTGGTGTGGGAGGGCCATGCTCCCCCCTCCTTGTCGGTCCTTCTGCTACCACTTTGTGGCTGAGCCACCAGCGAGGCACCTGGGGAGCAGAGCACGAGTGGTGGGACGGGACAGGACGGGATGTGGTGCAGCTGGGCCCTGTGCCCTGGTGGGGTTTGTTCCTCACAGTGTTTGCACGGCCTATCCAAAACAGGTCTCCTGCTGGAACTGCTCAGTGGTTCCTGCTGTGCCCTGCGTGAAAGACAATATTGTGCATGTACAGAGAGTCGGGAAGGAGGTAACTCTGCAACAGATCTGGTACACTTTGGGATCAAGGGTCATTTTTTTCCACAGTGAGGACCAGAGTCAGAGCCAGCGCTTTCCTGCAAGAGCGGGTAATGCCACAAGATGCTCTGAGCCTCCTCCCTCTGCTCCTCCTGCTCGTCCTGATGGGGGCACAGCTTACAAACACACATCTCTCTCACTAGCAAAGGCACATGGTTCTCTGCTCGTCTTGCTGAAGCCACGTTGGCCAGTCACCTCTTTGTTTTCCATGTCCCTTGGCACAGTTTCCAGGAGGATCTGGTCTTGAGCAAATGCAGAGCTGCCATTCATACTTTGTTCCCTCATGTCCCTGATCTACATGGAACTGCATGCTGGTAGTTGGTGAGCACAGGGCAGCATGTCTTCAGGCTTATAAACAGGAAAGTTTTGTTTTCTTATTTTTGAACGTAGATTCGGTTCAGAGTAGAGATGGAAAATCTGCTGTGTGTCACAGTGTACCGTCTGGTTGCAGAGGGCCCAGATTGCTGGATGACCCAATGGACAGAACTGAAAGCACCATAGCTATACAAGACATGGCCAGGAGGTGATGTGGTCTGTGCTCTTTGCTAAAGGACCCTTCAGGAGGCATCCATGGAGAAGGTGAAGGAAGAACTGCAAAGCTGTGTATGGGCTCATTTGGGGGATAGAGGAGCCAGAAGCTTGTGCTCGACCTTCTGCATTTTTTCCTCTCTCACAAAGCCCATGCGGAGGTGTTTTGATATCTAGGCTTTGCTAGAGAGCTTGGTGAGGGGTGTAGAAAACCAGTTTCACATGTCCAGCACTGTTGTGACAGTTCAGGGTTGTGGAGCAGATTGGAGGGGTTTCCTTGTCCAAGTCCCCAGCTGCAGATGGTTTCTGGAAGGCTAAATTCTCTTATCTGGCCTTCCAGATAAGGGATTACCTGGGTAAGGTAGGAAAAGGGCACTGTTGGTAGACATCAAGCACCTTCCAAAAACTCTGTTGGGAAAATGTCCCTGGGTACAGACTCCATTGACTTTATTCTCCCCTCTCTCAGACCTAGGTGCATTGTGGCAGTTGGTGATATCCAAGCGTACAGAGCACAGGGTGCTGCTGAGACCCCATTTAGGCATCCTTATACCGAGCAGGAAAGAAATGCCTCTAACATCCTCTAACTTGGCCTCTTCAGAGATGCTCACAAAGGATGTCCTGAGAAGAAAGTGCTCAGTTCTTCCAATGCTGTGAGCGTGAAAACTATCTGCAGTAACTTGTAATACTTCTGAAAGCCAAAGCTCTTGAGACAGGAACAGGCATATGTTTGCAAACAATGGAACTGAGGTACAATGAAAAGAAATTTTTATTGTATGCAGGGGCAGTTAAAAAATAGCAGCTCCTGTTGAGCTTGAAGCTCTAGGACATTTCCTTAGAATATCTCTGCTACAAATGACTGAAAACTAGAAAAACAAACTGCCATGGGGAAGAGTGTTGGAGAGATCAAGGGCACAGCTGGATTTCTTCTGGTTCTGCAAAATGGGGAATCACTGACCTGAAATGGCCTGGAGGAGCAAGGCAGGGGGGCTGTGCTCAGTGTTGCAGAAGAAGGAGACTCCCTCTGGAGGCCTGTGCCAATCTGCCTAGGGAAAATAATTCCTTCCTGAGCCCACAGCTGGAATTGGCTGTGCCCTGAGCTTGTGAGCAAGACCTGACTGCTGGCCCCATGGCAGGGGTCTGGCATGCCCACCGAGGGACACCAGCATGTCAAACTCCTTTCCTCCATCAATCTGGAACCATCTCAGGGGCTTCTGAGAAAACTCCAGAAGTGATAGGGAGGAAAAAAAAAAAGACTTTCCCAGGCCCTGCATCTGACCAGTGAGTGCTCCAAAATGTTGTGAGAGTGGCGTGACCATTTTGAACATATTGACTTCCCATTTCTTATGGGTGCTGCATCTGGCAGTGGAAGAGGTGAAGGGACTTCTCCACTGATGCCTTTTATAGCCTTTGGGAGGTGAGGGTGTGTGGTTAGGTCTCCTCCTGTTTTTCTATCTATTTCCTGTAAGTTTTAACCTATTAGCCTTTAAGTTCCTGCAAGTTTTATGGAGATATGTGGCTGGGTGGAGGAGAGAGACCCAGAAGCATGTGCTGTGCTCTGCTCCATAGCTGCTCCTCTTTGGCTTCCTACCAACCTTTACATGGTATTTGTTTTTACCGTTTTACAGTAAATTATTGTCCTGTATCCCTGATACATCAACAGCTGAGGCTCTCTTTCTCTCATACAGAACCATTTTCTGTTTCTTCCTGTAAGTTTTGGCAAAGGTCCATGCAATTTCTGCATGTGATTTTCCTGCTGTATTTTTCCCAAATCTTCCTCTGCATTTATGCACCTTCTTACTTGATATTTTTTTTTCGCATTTGCTCTTGCGTAAGTATTGGGATGCTGCTTTTCTTGAGTGTTCTCGCCCTTGCCACTCAATGAATTGATTCTTCCCTGCTTCATTCCCTTTGCAAATGAGCTTGTTTGGTAGCTCTGTGCATATCCAATAGATCTTTGAATGTGGCTCTCAGAAACAGGTACTCGAAGGCAAACTTGTACATTTTTAGTCCTGTTAACAGTCTATTTCACATTGGCATACCTCTTGGATTTGGTAATGAGGCACTTATGCTTTATGTCATTTGGTAAGGCACCAGTTTTATGTTCCTCTCCAGTCTTGGTTACTAATTTCACGTTTCAGGCTTTGAAGGTGCTCCTAGGACTTTGTTGAGGGCATGCCATACGTGGATGAGACATACAGCAGAAGGGAAGTTTGTAGGCGTGTGGAACTGTGTGTGTCTGTTTTGGAGGAATATAGCTGGAAAGGGGGAGAGACGTCTGGATATTTTGAGCTGTTGTTTAAAGAAAGGGTGTGTCTGGGATGCTTTGATGTAGTCTGTGTTGAGGAAGGTGCTGTCAGGGCTCTGCAGAGGTGCCCGTGGTAATGGTGGCTGTGTCTCCCATTGCTTGAGCTCATGGTGGAGGAGCAGGAGGCTTTGCCTGGAAGATGTCCCACTGCCATGTGTCCTACAGTCAGCCACTGCTGGAGGGACACCAGACTGGGTGCCGCTGGTGCTGGGGAGCCGGTCCTGGCTCAGCCAGATGGGGCACAGCATGGGACAGAGGCACCAGGGGTTTCAACACCAGCAAGAGACTGGGTGCGCACCAACCTCCCTGGCAGGGCGCAACCTACGCCTCGTAGTTTCTTATCTTATCTCCAGGAGATAAATGTGCACAGAAGTGCTTCGTTCAGCAAGAGAGAACAGTGCTGGTGTCTGGCTGGCCACCCAGCAGAAGATCAGCCAGGCTGGAGCACTGGGCATTTGCTGTTCCATGGCCCTTGCTTGCCATGGGCAGGGCTGGCTCTAGCAAGTGGTTAAATTTTTTTCTTTTTTGCTGTACCTTTGCCAAGTTTTCATTTCCTGGGGAGAAATTGCAATGCTTGGTATCTGTCTCCTGGCACTTATTTTTCTGTATTTTCTTCTGATTGGAAAGGTCTTCAGGTACTTCTGGCACTGAAGCTGAAAAAAAAAGTATTCTTTGCCTGGGTTAATCTGTTCTTTGGAAACTGTTTTACCTTCCTGCTGAGTTTGGAAGGCATTGTAAAAAATAGATGGTGAAACCATGGTAAATCAATTCAGGTACAAGTGCAAATGGGTAAATTTTTTACAATATATATATATATTTATAACATATATATAATGATATTAAATGCTTTATTTTATTGCCAGTTATGTTATGTGGATCTTCACTATTTCCAGTCGAGGAGTATAACCTAAAACCTTTATCCCAATTCTTAGAGTCTGTACCAAAACTGAGAGCAATATCTGTCAAAGCTAATGAGCTAAATATAATTTGGAGTTCTGTTTGGCCATCCCACTTAAACATAAAATATCCTGACCTAACAGTATTGAAACCGGGTTTTGGTGCAAAATGGCAAGATAATGAAAACCCTGTCTCAGATAAATAACTGTTCCAAAGGGAATGGGATTTCTGCAGGAATAAGTGTTAATGGAAAGGGACTGCAGAATGAGTAAAGTGGATTTTTTTTTTTCTTTTTTTTTTTTTTCTTCCCCATCATCTAATAATAAAAGCCGAAATCTGACTGAACTGTATTTATGGTTTAATCATTGCATTTGGGCTCAGACCTAAGTGCTTAAGGATTTAATTACCAAAGACAGGGCTTTGGAAAGTATAATGAAGTCTGAAGATAAATCATACGGGGTTTGTAGTTTTAAACTTTGGAAGGGTGATGGAATTTTCCGGTGGACCCCAGAAGGGTGACCTTGGTGCCGCAGTCTAATGTTGTCCATCGTGTCACCGGCTGCCTGGGTCTTGCAGCAATCACTGCAACACCCACCCTCACCCCAGGCGGTGCTTCTCACGCATCTCTTCTCCCCCATGCAGGTGGTGAAGGAAGCCCGAAGCCCAGGACGTTTTGAGCAGGAGGGCTGCCATGCGAGGATGTGCCTGCGCCCTCGCTGACCTTCCCACCGTCCCCGTCCCTGGCTTGTGTCCTGTGCAGCGTGAGGGCTGCAGCAAGGTGCTGCTCGGCTCGCCATGGGAGGATGCTTCTCCAAGCCCAAGCCAGGTGACAATCGCACCCGCCCCATGGTGACAGGGATGTAGGTCAGCAGCAGCTCCACAGGCCCTGCTGGGGAATGTTAATTCTCTGCTCCTGCGGGGAGGATTACTGCCTGCTAATCCCCCAAATTCCTGTGCTCTGGCTGTGGCGGGGAGTCCTGCGGGGCTGGGGGGGAATGCAGGGCACGCGCCCAGCCTGCAGCCACCAAGGATGCAGAGGCACGTCCAGAAGCTGTAGGAACGTTTCCCTCCCAGGGTGACCTCCCTGCCCTGGTGGCTCCAGTTCTCATCACTAGCTGGTTTTGTGACCCCATGCAAATACTCTGGACCTCAGCTGCATCCCACCCAGTCCCAGTGGCCTCCTGGGGCTCTGCATCGCTCACCATGTGCAGTGGTGCTGGTCCCTGAGGGCTCACAGGTGTCAGGCTGGCGTGGTTGGTGTTCCCAAGGAGAGTTCGTGTCCTTCATTTCATCCTGGCCACCTGAGAAGGACCTGAAGGACTTCCCTGTCCTTGCCACCTGGTCATTCCCAAATGAAAGTGAAATCAGCTCACAGCACTCATCTGTCAGATCATCCATCCATCCATCTTAGCAGTTGTGGGTGGAAAAGTTCCTGTTGTGGACCTTTTTTTTTTGGGAAACTTGTCTCCATTGTCTCAGGCAGTGGGGATTTCAGGCTGAAGGATTGGAGAGTTTGTTGCTGTGATACAAGTCATGTCTGCAAGCCCCCAGGTGTGCCTAGACTGAAGTCGTCTGCCCTTGCTTTGCATACAAGTTCTTTTTGATGCTGATGTGGGCTGTTTCTGAGACACAAAGGAAAAAATTAAGGGTGGTTTCTGTCACTGACCTGTGCTGTGATTATTTCACTGGAGATTGTGGTACCCAAATAATACGGCATTGGATACTGTGGTCAAATTCCTGTCTTCACGTTCCCTGCAGAACTGTAAGTTTTCTTTCGTGAAGAACCACACTGTTGATAGCCTTCCTTGAAGTCTTTAAGAAGTGAAAACACATCCAGGAATAAACACCATCACTGAACAAACTTGTAGCAAAGTCTGGGCAGTTCCACTTTATTTTGTATACCATCAGCAAAATTGTGTTTAATCTTGGACTGATGCAGAAACAAAAGTGCTCTGCAGGCGCATTTCCTGAGCTGTGTGTTTTCATGTGGAGCTGTATTTGCATGGTAGGGCCAATGACAGAAAATGCCACCCTGTAAGCAACACTCCTGCAACTCTCTTTTTGATTAGCAGCCTTTAGGATCGCTTGATGAGCCTTTCCCCAGCCCTTGTTAGCACACCAATGACTGCAAGTGCTTCACCTTGGTGGTTATAAAGCCTCGGAGTGCAGTGAGATAAACAAATACAGATTTGCAGATACTGACTGCTCTGCCAGAGGTTTCACAACCTTTTTATGACACTTGTTTTTCGTGTTCCTTGCAGGAAGAGTGAACTGTCAGAGCTAGCTTCAGGACTTTACTATTTCTAAAAATCCACCTATCCCCTGTACAAATGAGGAGCAGGCCACGCAAGGACAAAGTAGCTCTGTTTTCTCTATTAGTACTGCTCTAACATTAAGGAAATATTTCAGGTATGGCCTGAAGTCAATAGAATTTAACTTATTTAGAGGCTTTTGAGAGGTCTGCATGAGGTCCTTATCTGCTCCATCTTCTTATACCTGAGAGAGACCCTCAGTTTCCCCAAACAGTCTCAGCATTTCTTAAGATAACCTTGATAACACATTTCTGTATTCCAGGAAGACCTTCCGATGGGCAGATAACCAGTGCAGGAGTGGAGTCCTGCAGGCAGTAAATAACTGTGCTGGCTGCACCCAGCCCCAAAGTCCGTCTGCTGCTGCAGAGCCCAACCAAGCCTGATATAAAGATCACTGCTTAATTAAGAACTTATGTTCAAGTAGCAATGTAGTCTCCTGTTATTTCTAGTGCTGCAGTCCCATGACTCCAGATACTGTTCTGAAGCCTAGCCCTCAGTCTCTGCATATTTATTTATTTATTTATTTATTTATTTATTTATTTATTATTATTATTATGTTTATCACATCTCTAACTGCCCATGTCCTGGGTTTTGGGAGCTCGGTAACTTCTGTAGAGAAAGGGTAGAACCAGACACATTTGATCTTACAATTTTGTCATTAACTCTACCATTTTTTGAGTCTCTTTCAGGCCACAAAGAGGGCAGGGCAGTGTCAAGGGGGAGGAGGCTGGGGCAAGGAAGCACTGGGTAGGGGCATGTGGGCAGGAGGCATGGGTGAGCATGTGTACATGTGGATGGGGACTGAGGTGGACAAAGGGTTGGGGAGAGGCAAGAGAGAATCAACCTGTATGGAGACAAGGGACCTGAAATAGTGGGGATAAGATCTGGTGCTTCATCCTCCTTTCCTTGGTGACATTTATTCAGAGCTGGGTGGCACACCAGTCCCTGCTCAATGAGAGCTGAGCAGCGCTGAGAATGCTGCAGTGTAGCAGTACCAGAGAGCTGCTGCTTTCTGCAGGCATCTTTCTGACAGGGAAACAAGCAAAAGGCTCAGATCTAAATTTCCATCTTCATTCATGCAAGCTCATGGATTGCCAGGTGCTCCGTGCGCTCACGTGATCCAAACATAGTTTGGAAAACTAAATTTCAAGACAGCCGGCCAGTTGCTAGGGGGGTTGTCACGAGCAGAGAATTCAGCAGCATCAGCATCACTGAAGGCATCATCCTGCATGGGGGGCTGCAGCATAGTGGTGATGCCCAGCTGTGGGTCCAGCAGCCCTGGGTGGGTTGGGGGCAGACACCAGTCCCTTTGTTTTCACGTACACCAAAAATGCATCATTTTGGTGCATCATTTTTAGTAACCTCAGTATCGCCTGTTACAGAGCTGTTAAGTCACAAGAAACTGTGGGTGCGTTAGCTCCTGCTGAATTACTGATCAGCCTCATAATTGTGTGAAGTGATTCTCATGTTTCTTTGACTGGAAGTGTTTTACAGGAAATGACATAAACAGATGTATATGACATTGCCTAGCTCTGTGCTGGAAAATTCATGCCTGCTTTTCCAAATGCTATAGGACAGCCACGCTGAAAAAGCAGTCTCTTTGCTGGGTGCCTGCTGGAGTGGAGCTGTGTCACTGCACTGCCCCTGGAGAGAACCAGGAAGACATGGGCTTATCACAGCATTTTTTATTTCAGTGCATAGAGCTGGACCTGTTTGTGTGCAGTAACTCCTGCAGATGGCAGATACAGTGATGCAGCAGCAGTTCACATTTTCTGTCATTCCATCAGTTCAGCGTAGGCGTGCAGAACTTCACTTTTCTGGCTCTGTCCCTCAGAGCCACAGATGAACCTATGGTGATGATGGTGAGGGTTGGGTGCTTCAACACAAAGCAGCTCCAGGGATGGATGCAGGGACTGCCTCATGCAGTCATGCAGGATCGCAGATGTCATATTGTCAGGTGAAAGCTGGTTGTAGGGCACAATGCAGTGTTAGGTGCTGATGTGGAAAAGCACAGACAGTGGCTGCTCACAGGCCTCATAACAAGCTACTGTTTCCAGTGTGCCAGAAGGGGAAAAGTGTGGTTGTCCTATATAGGAGACAGCTGCAGAGGTCTGCTTGGCCATGCCAAGGCAGGCGAGGGGCAGCCTCTGTGCTCTGACCTCAGCAGCATGGCTGGAGTATCTCTTTTGAGATCATCTCTTGGTGATTTCCATTGCTTCTCTCAGCTCTGGCATCTTCCCTGCTGAGAAAAATATTTGTTTTTCCATAATTTGTCTGGTATCTACTCATTTATTGAAAGATTGTCAATGTGGTAACCTCCATGCCAGCCTTTTCCCCATCTCTGCTTCTGGATTGAGAGAAAACATGCAAAATGTGCTGACATCTCCACTTCTGTTAAGCAGAAAACAGTGGGGCTTTGCCAGAGATCAGGGAGCAGCGTGTCCTTGATTTTGTAGCTCTCAGTACCTTCATTTCCTACCTGCCCAGCCCTTGCTCCCTGCCCTTTCCATGCTCAGATGCTTGCTGTCCTCCGTGGCTCCCTGGCTAGGCTGGAGCAAGCTGACCAGTCTCTGCTCCATGCTGGGCTGGTGCCATATGTGGTGGGAGCAGTTTCCTACCACACCACACTGGGACGTGGGATTCCCCTGGTTTTGCCTGTCCTTAACCTCTTTCAGTTGTGAGCTTTAATTTTTATCTTCTGTACAGTTCTTCGTTTTCATGACATTTACAAGACTGGGAAAGCTAAATGCTCGCCCACGTGCTTGGGGTGCCTCTTTGGTCTCTGGCAATTATGCCCAGCTTGCTATAAAATCCCCTGGTGTTTATTATAAATATTAATGGCTTTAGTTTCATGAGGTGCCTAGGAGATAAAGTGATATTTTGTGCCTGTTTGACAGCTATGGACCTGAAATATATATTTTTAAAGTCAAAGCTGTCATCTGGTGTGACTGATTTGAGAAGAAAACACAGTTCCTTGAAGGCCCTGGCATGTGCTGTGACTGTCCTCCTTCTCCTGTGGCACCCCAGTGATGCTCAGAGACCCTAACTAGTCATGCCCAAGGAAAGGCTGGATGACTAGAACCATCAATGACCAAGGAAATTCTTCCAACTTTCTGTCGCTTACAAGTTGGAGTGTCTAGGAACGAGCTGATGTGGGAGCACCTCTCCTGGCAACTCCTAGCACCACTGCATGGGCACAAGGGGTTCCCATTACGGGGAGCAGCTTTCCTGGCTGCCAGGCAGAGGACTTCTGTGCGGATGTGATCCTCACGAAGGTGTCGGGAGGGCTCCTGTGCCCCCATGCCTCTGCATGGGTTGGAGGTGCAGGTTGGAGCTGGGACATCGCCACTGCCCAGCCAGGCACGAGTGGATCACACTGGCAGGGGCAGGGCTCAGACACAGACATTCAGCCGAGGGGTTGAGACTAGAAGGGTACTTGTCTGGCTCCCACTTGGGCACAGATCCTCATGCCTTGCCAGAATGTAGAGATTTCACTGAGACTTTGAGAATCTCTTCCAGAAAGCTGTCGATTGACCTTACATGGCCAGGGATGCTTTTATAGTCAAATGTGCTCAATAGTATAAACTTAAGTAAACCAGACAATTCTTGCTTTTCCCCTTTAATGCTGAAGATTCACTCTACACTCTTACAGAAATAATGTTGAGCATTTTTAATACGAGTTCCTTATTAATTGGTCTCCATCTAATGAACCAGCTTTATACACCATTCAGTGATGGCTTTTGCTTCCAGTTAATGTTATTTACGAACAATCAAAAGATTTTTTTGAAGTCTCTTTGAGACCTAGAGTTGTTGGTATGCTCACGCTTAACTTCCTGAAGCTATTTTTCATTAAACAGGACAGGAACTGTGATAGATGGATTGTTTTGCACCAATGAGTAATGCCTGCTTGCAAGAATATTTACTTTATGAATGCAAAGGTGCACAGTTGAGAAAGAGCAGTAGAATAATGGACTCAAGTAATCAAGCCAAGTTTGCTATCAAATATTTTTTCCCAAGCAAGCTGACAGAAAATGTCAGTTCTGATGACATCTGTCAGCCCCTTTTGAAGTCCAAGGAAGGAGGGAGAGTCATCATGGCAGCAAAACCTCTGGCTTTGTTTTAATGAAGATTTGTTTGTTCCTGCAGTTGAAGTGAAAATTGAGGTGGTGATACCCGAGAAGGAGAGAAGCAAGGAGGAGATGTCACCCAATGGGAAAGCCAGCCCATTGATTTACAAGGTCAATGGGACTGCCCGGCATTATCATCTCGAGGAACACCCCATTGCCAGCAATCCTTACCACAACCCAAAGGATGTGGTGGAAGCATCTGTGTGCCATGTGAAGGACCTGGAGAACGGACAGTAAGTGCCTAAAGTCTTTATAGGTAACTTACAAATTTATTATTACTTTACAAATTTATTATTAATTTATTATTTAAATTTACAAATAACTTACAAAATAAATTTAGTATTAGTATTATACTGGCCTTAGTATTTTTATGAAGCAGCATGAATAGTGCATGTGTGGGATGGAGGGGTTGATCGTGTGCTCCACCATTTCTGCAGTGCCTTGTTTCTCTAGCTGAGCTCATTTCTTTCACCTTGTTCATTCACCAAAAATGCGATTTTCCAAAGTTTTTCCTAATGGCAGCACACTTCAGCTGTGCACAATTTCCCCCTGATTTACAAGTTTTCTTAACTCTGAAAAGTGCCTGTTCCAGTCACTGTGCTTTACAGGCACATTTTTCTTACCTGGGATAGATGAGCCTTTTCTGCAGCGTGCCCCATTAATATGACAGAATCCAAACAGGCTGAACTGTGTGAAAAATAATGTAATTTGAATCCAGTGAACAGTTGGGTGAAGCTGGATGTAGTTGGAATTTGGGAGTATTTGCTTTAATTTGCTATTGCATGTAATGATACTCTAGAATAATATGTGATGATGATCTAGAATAATCCATTTAATACAAGCTACTTTGTGCTAAACTTATGGGGCATCATGAGCTATAAATTCTTGTTAGCAAAGTTCATCCAGGAATAAACTGTGCTTTTCATCTCTGGGATTTCATGTATTAAACCATTCTACAAAGGGATGCACTGGACTCTCTGCTGGATTAAATCTTCACGTGAGGTTTGGCTGATTCTGCCTTGTGGCTGAAGCAAAGCCAAAAAGAGACCCAGTCATGGGGAATATTTGTTGCACAGGGGCGATCCTGACGGTTAATCTGCCCTACCGAATTTCGAGAGTCAAGAGGGAGCAGATGTAGCCTGGTGGCTGCTGTAGTCATTGCAGCCAAGGAAATGCCAGGTGCTCATGGAGGCAGCTTCTGCTAACTTCATGTTCGGGGTGTTCCTAAAAGAGTTTGTTGTGTTTTGGTGCCCCAGTGCAAGAAACATACTGGAAAACTAGGGCTTAGGTAAGTATATTGCCTGGAAAGATTGCAGTATAGCAGAAAAAACAAGTGTAAGAGCCTGGTTTACTCTGTAGGTCGCAGAGGGGTGAGTGGTTTGGCTGCAGCATGCAAGAACGTATGTGGCTGTAGCAGAAAGCTCCTTGGTCGAACAGGCAACAGCTAAAGCAAGAGCTAGAAGCTGTAATCAGTCAGGAAACGGGCTCACACTTCGACTGTGTGTGCATTTAGCTACTGAAACAAATTCCCAAGTACTGCAGCAGACTTCCCATCAGAGGACATTTTAAATTCAGAATGACTTTTTCTAATAGAACTGTTTTTTAACTTTCTGGCACCAGGATGGTCCCAGCAGAACCAGTGAAGGATTCTGGTGCGTGAGCTCTGCTGCTGCCTTGCCCAGACGTTCTCCCAGCTGGCTGACAGGCCCCGGGGTGGGGAGCACACAGTTGGCCATGTTTTTAGTTCAGGGAGCTGCACCCAGAAAGCAGCCCCCAGCCACCTGCACCTCCTCTGCCACGTCCTTTGTGGGCCAGAGCCGAGCTTCTGCTGGTGCTGCCCAGGTTAGAAGGGGAGCTGGGCAAGAGGACAAATTTCCCACTGGAGAAACAGCTCAGTGGGGAGCAGTGCAGTGCCAGCCGCTCTCTTGCTCACTTTGGACTGAGTGAAGGTGGCTGTGCATTGCCTTCAAGATGCCAGGTCTTGTTTTTCCCTCTGTCAGATCACACAGTTCCTTAGGTAAGTTGTAAAGTCACTTATCTTATCTTATCTTCCTGTGTAGTTTTGGTTGTCATTTAACGAGAGCCACAGGTTTTATCTGAAGCACTGCACAGCTGAGGAATGCGGCAGGACTTGTATTGCTCTATCCCCATTGTGCTGACTGAGGGACACCCGAGTGCCAAGTGTCCTGCATGGGGAGGGAGCAGAGCTGCCTTGCTTGGGAGGGTGTCTGCCAGCTTACAGGGCTGGATGGCTCCCAGGGCAAGTGTGACAAGCTCTGCTGCTGCTTTTGACCGAGGTAGCAAAGAAAATCAGCATCTGCTGTTCCTCTAGTGGGATGGTTCATGCAGGTGAAGCACGCACGTGCCTGAGGACTTGTCCGAGGTAGGTCTGCAGGTGTTTTGGGCATGCTTGTGGACTGAGCACTGGTCTCACACCCCTCTTCACCAGAAGTGTGTCTGCAGCCCGGGTGCTGGTTAGGGTGATGTTACCCAAACCGCAATGGGAATGCAAAGTGAGTCCCGTTTGTCTGAGATCGAGGTGTGTGGTGCATACGCAGCTTTCATGGCTCGCACATGGCCAGTGTTCCTGAGCACAGGGGGTTTGCTGTGTGCACACCGGTGACACATACAGCACACCTAATGCAGCCTGAATAGGACTGCGATGTGGAAACACTCTGCAGCTCTCTCTACGATTACCTACCTGAAAGGAGGTTGCAGTGAGGAGGGTGCTGGTCTCTTTTCTGGGGTGACTAGGGATAGGATGTGAGGCAATGGCCTCAAGTTGCACCAGGGGAGGTTTAGATTGGACATTAGGAAGAATTTCTGCATGGAGAGGGTCATCAAGCATTGGACTAGGCTGCTTAGGGAAGTGGTGGAGTCTCCATCCCTGGAGGTATTTAAGAGATGTGTGGGTGTGGTGCTTAGGGATGTGGTTTAGTGATGGGACTTGGTAGGTCAGGTTGGTGGTTGGACTTCTGACCTTGAAGGGCTTTTGCAACCTGTATGATTTTCTAAACTTCATCTTCCCAGCACTGATAGCATCATTAACCACACATTCAGCAGGTGGGGATGCTGTGGTATCTTTTTTTATGTTTTTTGTTTTGGAGAGAGGGTACATGATTGGCAAAAGTGTGCTTTTGGCTAGGGCAAGGGTGGCTGGGGCTGGAGCCTGATGTAGCTGGTGGGGGACCCATCGTGAGACCACAAACTTTGTATACGGGATGCTTGCTGTGCTAATTACACTTTTTCCAGGGTATCTCCACAAGCAACAGCTGTGCTTCAAAGAGCACCTGACTGCCTCCTGGGGGACTGCCTGCACTTAGGTTGGCTATTGTAAAAGCCTGAAGCTGAGTGCTGGGGCAGCAGGGAGACAAAACCCCACTGTGATGCAGAGTTGGGCCAGCAGCCTGAGCAGGAGGGCAGGTTGCCTTATGACTTGTGTTCTGCAAAAACAGCAGAAGAAAAGAGCAGGGGAGTCGGGTGTAGATGTCCTGGGGTTTCTATCAGAAAAATGTGAGCCCACCCCCTGACACAGAGCACGCAAAGGGTCACAGGTTCCTCTCCTGGGCACTGCTTGGTGACCCAGCCTGGATCTGGTGTGGGCTGGCAGCAGCAGAGCCACCTCCAAGGCCAGCTTGGTGGCAGGGGTGGCAATACCTGCGAGACACCCAGAGCCATTGGTGAGCAGTTTGGAGGAAGGAGGAGCTGGGCAGGGTGGAATGGGGCTGGAGTGCAGGGTGAAGGGTTTGGCACCGGCTGTTCTGCCACCTGCTTCTGTGCTCCTCCTCCTTAGGATGCGTGAGGTGGACCTGGGCTGCGGGAAGGCGCTGCTGATCAAGGAGAGCGGCGAGTTCTACGCCATGGGACACAAATGCCCTCACTATGGGGCCCCGCTGGTTAAAGGTCTGTCTGTATCACTTGCTGTGTGCATAAAAATGGGAGGCAAAGCGTTTACCTTTACAGCCCCGAGGTCCTTCATGGGTGCTGTGGGGAGTATGGGGTAGTGCCATTCCTCTTAACCTCATCCCAGCATCTTCTCGGTGAGGGAAGTGTGTCTTCAGAAAGGTGGCAGTGCAGAAGCCTCCGAGGGTACTCAGCCTTGGGTTTGGTTTGCTGGTGAACTCACTGACACAGGCCTGAGGCTTGCTTGGGTGACTTCAGAGAACGAAACTCATCTAGCATCATTACGTGTTGTCTCTTCAGCTGGGGTCTGAACCTCTCTCGGACTGTGTGAGACAGCCTCAGCTCACTGCATCCAAACAGAGCCTCATTTTATGGGGCTTTGTTCTGTTTACTGGTTCTCAGCCATTGAGGAGTTAAAAGGTATTTTAAAGGAAGAAAAAACCAAAAACAATCTTCTGCATTTTATGATTTTTCAGGCCACTCAGTCTTAAAAAACAAAAATCCACAACTCCCTATAAATCAAAATCATGTTCATGAGGGCTCTGTTGTCAGTGGTGGAAGTGTGGTGATGTACAGTGGTTTGCCCTCATGGTACCAGAAGCCTGAATTAAGGGCCCCTGGTGGTGCCATCTTGGCCGTGTGCCTTAACTGTGGGTGTTTGGCTGGAGGAGGGGTGCTGGGGAAGGTGGCAGGGTATCCTCACATGCTGTCCTGGCACCAGTAGCAGTGCTGGGTGCAGGCAGGCATGCTCTCGGTCTTGCTTGTCCCCCTCTGGTGTCAACAACCTTTTGGCTTTGCACAGCGATCTCACTGGAGATGCAGGAGGGGTGGCCCCTGAGTCCCTGCATCTAGTGACAAGACATGGCAGTGCAGCGAGCAAATACACCAACTCAGGATGAGCCCAGCACAGCTGAACTGTAGCAGTTCTCTCTGCCTCGAGCCAGTTCTTCCAGGCAGGGACAGACAAAGTCCAAGGTAGCAGACAGAGCAAATACTTACGAGGAGTGACCTCACTGCTTTGAACATGCCCTGTACTTATCCAGTGGCATGCATGCTCCTTGATGTGTCAGCATCTGTGCTGACATAGGCTTGCTCTAAATATGTGATGCTCTGTTTGAGGCACTGCTTGCTTGTGGTGGTACTGGACTTGTAGAGATGACCGCAGGACCTGGTGATGTGATCCCTGAGTGAGATTATCCTGTAGGCACAGCAGAGAGCTGGTGGAGCTGTGCACAGAGGCATTGGAAGGGGCTCTCTCAGTGAGGGCATCTTAGCTAGGATCCCACACCCAGGATCCCAGTTGGCACCTCACCCTCTAGCCCAAATGGCTGGACCAGTCCCATGCACAAGCTAGAGAAGCCCACGTGAAGCAGCCAAGATGCTGCTGACCATCCACGTCCACGACAGCTGCCGCGTGCCCTGTAGAAGAGATGACAGCTCTAGGTAAAGAGAAGAGAGTCACAGAGATATGTTCAGAATCTGGGCGTTGAAACTGCTCTGCGTGGAGGTGTATAGCTCCTGCCACTGCAGCAGGCTCAGGACAGCAACCTCTGGCCTTCAGGTCAACCTCGCTCAGCAGCTGTGGTGAAACTGTGAAGAATTCTAGAATCCTAGGAGCATATTGGCAGTGAGACCTGGCCTCTGCCCCCTGTGCCCTCAGCTGGGGGCAGCAGCTTGACCTCAGTGGGCTGTGGGCAGGGATGTACTGATGTGGCTATGCTGTCTTTCACGCAGGGGTTTTGTCCAAAGGAAGAGTCCGCTGTCCCTGGCACGGAGCCTGCTTCAACATCAGCACTGGTGACATAGAGGACTTTCCTGGCTTGGACAGCTTGCCCAGGTTCCAGGTGAGAACCTTTGTTCCTGCAGCAGAGGAAATGAATGTTAGCATGGCTTCTGCAGAGGTGTGGAGCAAATATTTCCCACGCACGTGGTGGGGTGGCCAGTAGAGATCACCCAGCACTCCCTCCTCCCTGCAGCTCCTTTGTCATTCTGTCTGCACCAGTCAGGCACTCCTGGGAAGGTGAGGGTGGAGGTACATGGTCTGGGAGGCTTCTTGTGCAGGAGAAAACAGCCCTCAAGCTGGGGGAGAAGCCAGGTAAAGACGGGCAGTTTCTGCACTGAACATCAGAGCATGGTTGGTGTTGGACAAGACGCATCCTGGGGGCCTGGACAGCTCTCTCATGAGCCCTGCAGTGCAGGTGGGCTGGGGAGACCACTGCTGTGTTCAGAAGTTGGTGCACAGACGGAGCAGGCACCTTTCTCACACCAGAGACGCTTGCTGTCCTGCAAACCACTGCTGTTTGTCTCCCTCAGGTGAAGATCGAAAAGGAGAAGGTGTACATCCGAGCGAGCAAGCAGGTGAGAGGCTGAGCCACTGCTGACACCCCAAAAACAAGGCCCATGGCTGCCTCCACGGGGGAAGGCAGGGGAAGAAGTACCTGAGCAGAAGGATGTGTGAGCATTCAAAATGAGTAACCCAAAGGTCTACCTAGCCCAACCCTGTCTCGAGCAACATCCTGAAGTCTGTCCCTGGGACATGAGTGGAGCCAGGCAGAGCTGTAGCATCTCCCCCTCACCCTCCTGCACTCCCCTGACTGCTAGGAGCTGCTCCAGGGTGCCTGAGCTGGATGAGGTGTCTGTGAGTTCAGGATGTCATGATGATGCTTGTCCTGAACTCACGCCGTGTTTCCTTCAGCTCATAGCAGCCTGTAGTTTGGTTGGGCCATGAAGCAGGCCTCTCCCTTCAGCTGTGTGGCCTCACCAGCTGGGTCTGAATGCAGCGTGGTGATGGCAGAGCTCATCTCTGCACAGACATCAACTGGAGAGGGATGGGGTGGGTGTGCAGGGAGGGCTGTCTTCTCCAAGGCAGGATGCAGAGTGAAGCCTATTGAGGCCAGTGCCATCTTTCTTTCTACAAAGACTTTTATTCTGATTCACACTTGCATATATGCATGTGTGAATACAGAGGCTCAGTGCTCTGGCCCAGCTGGACCTTTTCACCACCTGAGGGGTTTGATCCCCACAGGTCACTGGAATGGAATCGCACTGCTCCAGCTGGTGCAGGTGGGATGTGGTGAGGAGGGCTGTGCTGGATTTTGGCCTCTGATGGCTTCTGCATCAAAAGCAGCAAGGCCAGCAGGTCAAGGGAGGTGATTGTCCCCCTCTGTTCTGCTCTCCTGAGACCTCACCTGGAACCCTGCATTGAAGGATAATGACTGTTTTTCTTGCTGTTGGTGGCGTAGGCTCTTCAGACACAGAGGAGGACAAAGATGATGGCAAAGTGCATCTCCTTGAGCAACTATAACCTGAGCAGTACCAACGTGCTGATCATCGGTGCAGGTATTGATTTGCACTGGAAGGCTGGATTGTGCCTTCGGTGAAGAAGAGGGTGGGATGGCACAGGCTGTGCTGTGCTGGACCTTGGGGCTAGGAGGGAATGGCTGCGCAGGGCACTTTGGTTGTTCTCACTTCGTTATAGCCCTCAGGTCACCAGATGCAAGCTGTGGGAATGCTCAGCACGCTGTGATCAGCTGCTCCTATCATCTAAGTTATGTCTCACAGCTTGAGTAGAGAGGGAAAACCAGCCAGGCCTGCTCTTCCCTTGCTGCTGGGCAGCATTTTTCCCTTCCTTGTGCCCATGGTGTTTGTTGACTGAGATGTGGAGTGTGACCTTCCTGCTGGCCAGGGGCAGCTGGGCTCTTTAGGGAGCACAGCACGGCTGCAGGTAAATAGTCACCCAAATCCTGAGCCAATATGCTCAGTGGGAGATGTTGGTTGTTGCTGAAAGAGCTTTTTCAGGCTTGAGCAGCTACGTTGACAGCTCTTTCTGAAGAACAAGGTCTGTTCTGGTGAACAGGAAGGGAGATTTCAAAGCTCCTTAGGTGGGAAGAGACTCCCCCTCCAGCCCTGCATAGTCAGTGTCAGTGCAGCATCCATCCTGGCTCAGTGTGCTCCAGGCAGCATGCACAGGACAACTGCCTTGCTGCCTGTTCTTCCACTGCCCCCTGCCTCCATCGATAGCAGTGTTTTGTAGATGGACCAAAACACGATACTGTTCAGATCCATCTTTTTCTTTGGCATTGAAAGAGTTCATTCAAAGGGTTCAGACCACCTAATGCCATGTCTCTTCCTTCTTTTTTAGGTGCAGCTGGATTAGTCTGTGCAGAGACCTTGCGCCAGGAGGGTTTCTCAGACAGGATTGTAATGTGCACAATGGACAGACACTTGCCCTATGATAGACCAAAGCTCAGTAAGGTTTGTATCATCTTGAGGATGCCACCTGAGTTTTACAAATTGCCTTATGTCCTTTCTCCACCATTATTCATTGCACCAACGTGTTTCTTTTTCCTTATTAGTCCTGTCTCTCTTTTTTCTTGAGCTGTCTTTTCTGTTAGTGACTGAAAGTCAGAACACAGAAGAGGAGTTGTGAGTTGTACAAACTCCAAACAAGAGTTCACCAGCATAGAAAACAGGTCATTCTCCATAGGTCTACAAGCAGCTGTCTTGGCCTGCTTGTACCTAAATGGATCTGCTTCCTATGTTTCTGGATCAAAATCTTTAAAGCAATGAAATGGGGCTTGTAAACAAATGGTATTGTCTACCTGGATTTTTATTAGTGCATGTTTCTAAGATGCAGTGATGCACCTTGCTACAGTTACTAATATTATTGCTCATCAGATAGCCTCATCTCAGTGCAAAGATCACTTTTTCTGGCACACATTCCATTCTGAATGCCAATTTGTAGCAACAGGATGGTCTTCTAATCACATTTTTATCACTGACACAGGGCTTTGCTTGATAACAGACCAGCAACTCAGGCTGAACAGCAACAATTGGTCTTGAAGCTTAGAGTTAACATAAGAGCAGACAGTGTGTTCCCCTTTACATCATGGACACTTATCTAGGGGAGAGGTAATCAGAGCATCTGACTCAGCTTCCATCTCCAAGACAAAGCCATTTGTAACGCAAACATGCATAGAGCATTCAAGCTGTTGCTCTGCTTGGACGAGATTTGCTTGGGGCAAGGAGCAGCTGGCTGAGTTGCAGAGGTTGTGCTGGGCATCTCTGAGAAGTTCACAGTCTCTGTCCCGGCCAGGCAACTCTCAGAAATGCTTATCCCCATCATGTGACCATTAAACTGCCTGCTTCAATCTCCTTTAAATAGTAAAAACACCTCATACAATGGAAATGTTATACATGATTTGTTAAACTCTCCGCTAAACATATCTGGCTGCAGTTGCTTTTGGAAGTTGCACAAAACTCATGAAAAAAAAAAAAGGGCAGAATATTCTAGAGCAGGGTGAAGAAAGGGGGATTTTTCTTAATCCTCTTGTGAGTGGTATTAGCACTGGAAAGAGTCACTAGAGGAGGAGCACATAAAGCTGTAAGCAGCAGGCTTCTTGCCTCCTGAAACTGCAGCATTGTCATTAACAGCCTGTCCCAAGCTCCTTCCAGACTGCTCCTCTCCATGCCCTTTGGACCATGACCTGCTCCCTGCTGTGCTGCTGTGTCCCCATTCCTGTCACAGGAGCACTGGATGGCAGCAGAGGCTTTGGGGGCTCTGTACTGCTCCTGCTGCCCTCCCTGTGCACCAGCTTGGGAAACAGCACTCTGAAGTGGTGGGGTCAGAAGCTCCTCTCTTGGTAAATGTTGGGTGTTTAAAGAATCTGCAGTAAAACTGGAGGTTTTGGTTGATAGCAAGCTGAATATGAGCCAGCGGTGTGTCCTGGCAGCCAGGAGGGCCAACTGTACCCTGGGGTGCATCGAGCACAGCATCGCAGTCGGTCAAGGGAGGTGATTGTCCCGCTCTGCTCTGCACTGTGCAACCTCACCTCGAGCACTGTGTGCAGTGCTGGGCACCACAGTACAAAAAGGATGTGAAAGTGTCTGAGTGTCCAGAGGAGGGCAACAAAGATGGTGAAAAGCCTAGAGGGGAAGATGTATGAGGAGCGGCTGAGGGCACTGGGCCTGTTCAGCCTGGAGAAGAGGAGGATGAGGGGGGACCTCATCAAGGCCTACAGCTTCCTCACAAGGGGAGTGGAAAGGTATTCAATTTACAGGTATTAAGAGAAAAACAGTCTTTTTTTTTTTTTTTTTTTTTTCTCCAGTCAATGGATTCCCACCCGGAGCAGATAGCCCTGCGCCCCAAGGAATTTTTCCGCACATACGACATTGAAGTCCTGACTGAAATGCAGGTGAGGAGAATCGTGTTTGTACCGTGTGGTCTCACCATTGTGCCTGCAGATTATTCTCCAGGTGCTGGCACACAAAGTCTGTGTCTTTGTTTTCAGCTCACTGATTTCCATTGCAGAAATGCCAAGTCTCCCTCATTCCCCGGGCTGTTTTGTGCCTCCAAGGTCAGGCTGCCTGTGGTTTTCTAAGTCATAATTAATGCAATTTCTTCCTGTGCAAAATCCCTAGTGACCATCATTTCTTACCTGCCATCTGCCCGTCATCCTCACATGGATTTGGGGTGACCAACTGGCCTCTGATCAGGATAATCTGCCTGCAAGCAGCACAGACAGTGATGGATTAAATACTTCTCCCTATTATTTTATTCATATTGGGAATTTTCAAGGATTTGTGAAATGGCAGCTAGGATGATTTAAGATCTGGAGCGGCTAAGCTGGGGACAGAAACCAAGGGGACTAAAGACCATGTCCAGGCAACATATGAATATCTCCAAGGTGGGAGACTCCACAGCCTCTCTGGGCAACCCATTCCAGTGCTTGGTCACCTGCACAGCACAGAATTACTTCCTGGCTCTCAGTTCCTGTTAAAATCTAAGATAAACAAGTACTAGGTGCTCAACTGGCGCCTACATATTTCAGGGGATTCAACACCAAGGAATGCTGCTGCTATGGATTTTGGTGGTGCCTTGAGGCTTACTCTGAAGTCTTCCCTTCTGAGCCTGTGTGCGTTAGTGGGTGCTGATCATCCCCTGCAAGAAAGCAATTCAGAAGTAGAAAATAATAACAAATGGTTTGCATTCTCTGCAGTCATTAACAAAGCAAGGTGTGCTGTAAGAGGCTCCTGGTGGGCTGGTGCAATTGGGGTGCTTCTGGATCAGCACATGGCATCTCAGTGAATGTCTTGAGATTTCATCTCTTAACATTATTTAGAAATGATTTCAGGTTGCAGCTGTGGATATCAAGAACAAGATAGCTGTGTTCAAGGATGGATTTAAGATGGAATATAACAAACTGCTGATAGCAACTGGAAACACGTAAGCTACAAACATTTTAAAGATCATGAGAAACTATTTTATCTGAGAACTTGAGGAGCTTGTGCCTGGGGATAAGGGATCAAACACAGCAGTTGCGTTTAGAAACTGAATTTGTTTGCAAGAATGTTTGCAGAAAAGGCAACAAATACATATTTGATATGTCAGTATCTCCCTCTAGCTATGGTGGGTGTATCTGCTCAGCCAAAGTTGAAGAGCCTGTGTGTCACCAAATGTAGCCCAGAAAGCAGGGGACCACCAGCACCAAGGGCTGTGGTGTGTGGAAGAAGGCTGCGCAGGAGTTTCATGATCAGAGTCAAGGTCAATGCTGCACTGTTCCCAGAAGTCTCTCCTGTGGGCCAGCTTAAGAGCAAATTACATTTTCACAGAAAATATCAAATATTGTAGACAAAACCAGGCTTTTCTATAGCAAAGTCTCTGAACCTTACTGCTCCATGGATATTTCACTATTTCACTTTTTGCCCTGTTTTGGGGCAAATGCGAGTGTCTGAATCCCTCACATGCCTGGCCTTGAGCAGCTGTGCTGGTGTAAAAGGGGCTGTCAGGATGGCACCCAAGCACAGGTCTGGCACCCCTGGGCTGCTCACCCTTTCTGTGTGCTCCTGCCACAAAGGCACCAAGTGGACTAGGGCAAATTCAACCTCTGCAAAATTATCATCTGGGTTAGGGATGCTTCCAGCCAGGTGGTACAGGGAGCTTCAAGCCTGGTTGGGAGGGAGCAAAAGAGAAATCACTCCCTTTGCAAACTGCTGATGCCGCTGGTAATTGTCAGTATTTGGTGCTGCTTCATATTTGGGTCTCTGATGCCTGGAGTCCTTGCAGTCATCTGCAGGTGTCCGGCTCTGCCAGTGGGATGCTGTGATTCAGCTGCAGCCACATCGGTTGCTAGACCTGGTGTTGGGTGATGTGATGCTCAGCCAAATGCACTTTCCACCTAATGAGGTTCGAGAGAGGATTAAACCTTTGGAAATAATTTCAAAATCCTTATGCATAAGCTCCAAGTACACTGGGTAAATGTTTTTAAGATCCCTGAATTATTTAGGATCATCATTCGCATTTCCAGACATGAGTCATATACATGTATATGGAGGGGACAGATATTTAAAAATACATATGCCCCAGTAAATACACGACATGACAAGCTTAAATTGCTACAGAACCCACATCTGCAGATGCTTATAGAACCTTTAAAATCTGGCTCTGAATTTTCTACCAAAGGATAGAGTTAGTTTTCTGTGTCCTAGTAAGCTTCTGAAAATTTTACCACATGACAGCAGTTAACCTTAAAATTATAGTAGGAACCATCCCGTGTTGTGCTCCATTTTTCTACACAGAGCATAGGCCAGGCTTGTACCATTTGTCTGCCAAGCAGCTGCATGAGGACTGGGGCTGGGGGCTCATTCCATTGTCCACCAGCATTTTTTTATTTTTTATTTTTTATATTATGTGTCTATCCAGGGTGACTTTGCAGAGAAACATGACAAAATTTGGTGTTTTGGCTGTAGTGTGACATCCTGCAGCGTATTGCCTTCTCCTGTCTACTGATCTGTGTTGTTCCCCCATCCCCCAAAAAGAAAGCTCCCCCAGAAGCAGATAGCCAAGCCAAAGTGTCTGCAGAAGCCCAACCTAGACAACCCTCAACATTTTTTATTTATTTATTTGTTTATTTATTTTCAGACCCAAAGCTCTCAGCTGTAAAGGCAAGGAAGTGGAAAATGTTTTCAACATCCGAACACCAGAAGATGCAAACCGGGTGGTGAAACTGGCCACCAGCAAGAATGTGGTTATAGTGGGTGCCTCCTTCCTTGGTGAGCTCTCATTTTGCAGATTTGCATTTTTCAACTTTCTATGTGTCCCTGCAGCTTGTCACAAACCCTCCCCTAATTTATCATTACCCTGTTGGAGGTAATCCCCTGCAGACTGGACCTGGATGGTTCAACCTGCAGCTCCAAGTGCTAAAAACATCTCAAACCTGAAAAAATTATTTTTACTTGAGAGGCTGGGCAATTCAGCTTGCATGGACAAAGAGCATTGCTATCCCAGTCTGGATAAGTCCAGTACTGTCACTCAGGTGTTTTCAAATCCAGTGTGTAAGTGCAGATTTGCCTTCAGATAGGAGAGTCTTTAGTAGATGAAAGGTTGTGGGCTTATTTCTCTTCTACTTTCATCAGGGTTGAGAATTTTTAAAATACACATAAGCCTTATAATTTCTTTAATTTTTTTTTGTTTGTTTGTTTGATACGTCTGTAACAAAGTTTTGGCATGTCCTGCAAGCTTTAAGCATAAACGATTGTTAGGGAGGGAATTTACTTCAAAATGTTCAGTACTTGTTTGTTTTGGGTTTTGTTTGTTTGTTTGTTTGTTTTAAATTTCGTGCTTTAAAGGTTCAGTCAGTCCTGTCTACAACAAAATGTGTGGTTTGAGGGACCGATTGTAAACTGAAGACCATCAAAGAGAACAGTTTCTAAAAAAAAAAAAAATCATAGAAAGAAAATGCTGAAGGTTTCCATGCAATTGCCAGCACCAAAATTGGTCTCTTCTGAACAGAACAAAAAAGCTGAAGTCACAGGGGCAGTTTTCAGCCAGTAGCTCATTACTTCTGCTAAGCCATAAGAGGCAGATTTCTCTCTTCCTCTGAGGTCCATTAACAAAAGCTTCCTGGGGTTCTTGGGACTTCATTATGGCTGGTTGCTTGTTTTGATCTTTAAAGTCCTCCTGTGACTTCTGCCTCTAAGAATAAATCACTGTAAATGATAAATCTCATGCAAAACTGTGGGGCCCTTTGTGGCCACGGGGCCTGGCTGCAGCCCAGGAGTCCCCACGGAGCAGCCCCGCTGGGACGTGCTTCTGTTCCCCAGGGATGGAGGTGGCCGCCTACCTTGCAGAGAGGGCCCACTCGGTGTCCCTGGTCGAGCTGGAGGAAGTCCCCTTCAAGAAGTTCTTTGGGGAGAGGGTTGGCCGCGCTGTCATGAAGGTGACCTCACTTTCCTGTCCTGGGGGTGGTTTTGGTGACAGAGTGGGTTCTGCTGGTTTCACTTATTGGTGTGAACTTGTTCACTTATTCACTCCTTCTACGATGGAGTGACGGCGTCAGTTGACAAGGGAAGACTGACCAACGTCATCTACCTGGACTTCTGTAAGGCCTTTGACACAGTTCCACATGACAGCCTGGTGTCATCATGCCTCTCCAAATTGGAGAGACAGGGACTTGATGGGTGAACCATTTAGTGGACAAGGAGTTTGTTTGAAGGTCACACACAGAGAGTGTTTATCAATGGCTCCATGTCCAGGTGGAGGCCAGCGATGAGTGGTGTCCTTCAGGGATCTGTCCTGGGACCGGTGCTGTTTGATATCTTTATCAATGGCATAGACAGGGGGATGCTTGAGATTTGGGCCCACATGAACCTAGTGAGCTTCAACGAGCCCAAGTGCAACGTGCTGCACCTGGGTCGGGGCAAACCCAGGCATGAGGACAGACTGGGAGAAGAACTCATTGAGAGCAGCCCTCTGGGGAAGGACTTAGGGGTTCTGGTGGACAAAAAGCTCGACATGAGCCAGCAGAGTGTGCCTGCAGCCCAGAAGGCCAAGTGCAACCTGGGCTGCATCACCAGAGGGGTGGGCAGCAGGGGAGGGAGGGGATTGTCCCCCTCTGCTCTGCCCTTGTGAGGCCCCACCTGGAGCACTGCGTCCAGGTCTGGTGCCCCCCAGAAAAAGAAGGATGTGGGGCTGTTAGAGGGGGTCCAGACGAAGGCCACAAAGATGATCAGAGGGCTGGAGCACCTCTCTTATGAGAGAGCTGGGGCTGTTCAGCCTACAGAGGAGAAGGGGTGACCTTATTACAGCTTTTCAATTCTAAAAGGGGGCTTATAAAAAAGATGGAGAGCAACTTTTTGCTGAGACAGATAATGACGGGACAAGAGGGAATGGTTTTAAACTAAAAGAGGGGAGATTAAGATTAGAGGTTAGGCAGGAAAATCTTCCCTCAGAGGGTGGGCAAGGCACTGGAATAGGTTGCCCAGGAAGGCTGTGGATGCCCCATCCCTGGAGGCAGTTCAGGGACTGATTGGAGGAGGCCCTGGGCAACCTGACCTACGTGGGTGGCATCCTGCCCATGGCAGGGGGGTTGGAACTGGGTGATTTTTAAGGTCCCTTCCATCCCAAGCCATTCTATGATTCCATGATTCCATTCGATAGCATTCATTAACTTGCTGATGCAGTTATTCTAAAAGCTGATTTATTGATTAAGATGTGAAGGTGCTCTACAGTAGTACACCTGAGGAAGACTGGGCTGGACCTTTCCCTCTGGGGGCTGCTTGCTGTGAAAGGGCCTGACCCGGGTTTGCATGGGAGGACTTGAAGGCAGGGAGGGGAGCTCAGAGGGTGCCAAGGCACAAGGGTGGGACAGCGTGGGGCTGTGATGTGCCTGCTGTCCCCACAGATGTTCGAGAACCACAGGGTGAAGTTCTACATGCAGACTGAGGTGTCGGAGCTGCGGGAGCAGGAGAACAAGGTACAGCATGGCAAAGGCTCCCCTGGGGCGAGAGGTGGCCACATCTCGCCCTGGGGCTGTCTCCTTCACTGCTGGGCTTTTGCCCTCTCTCTTTCCCTGCCCCCAAAATTCGTATTCTTGAGCTTAGCCCCCAGGAGCAAGTGTGCTCCAGCCACATTGGGGTGGTTTCATTGCTCTGAGATCCTGGAGGGACAGAGAGAGCATTGAGGGTGACCCTGCTGAAGCACTGCATGGTTTTAACCCTGTCCCTAGAAAGCACCTTCAGGACTCCCTTAGTGGTCTCTGAAACTCTTCTTTTTCCCAGTATAAGGAATTACAGCCAACTTGCATGTCAGAAATGAAGCAAGAAGCTAGTTTCGCTTGCTGCTGCTACAGGGTTTTTCTTTTTTTGTCTCTAAAATAACTGTAATTTCCCCTCTCTCCTGTAAAGTTGAAGGAGGTGGTGCTGAAGAGTGGGAAGGTCCTACGTGCAGACGTTTGTGTCGTTGGTATAGGTAAGGGGCTGCTGCTGCGTTGCTGAGTGCTGGTCCCATCAGGCCAGCAGTGCTTTGCTTCAACAGTGCTGGTGCTGGAGGAGACGGGGCAGTCATCTTCCTCCTGGCCAGGTGGCTGAAGGGTGCAGGTAGAGGTGTACCAGCTTCCACCCTATGCTTGTATCTGTAGCAAAGCTGAAAAAGTCTTTCCTAGGTCCTAACATCCAAAAAATGAAGTTGAAAACATTTGGGTGATATTAAGTTTCATTTTATTATTTTTTTTTTTCAGAAAAAACATTAAATTTAATTCTCTCAATTTTTTATTTTCTTACAGTCCAAACTTTTTTTTTTCTTGTTGCACTTATTTATTTATTTTTATCATCTTATTTTATTGCTGCTGCCATAGACAGTATTTTCTCCTTGACGCCTGGGGAGGAAAAAGCCCCTAACTAATGGCAACTTCTCTAAACATTGCAAACTGGAAGAATTCACAAGATTCTGGTTTCATTCTCCTGCTGTTTTATGGACTGCTTCCCAACAGTCAACAATCCACAACAGGTATATGAGGGCTAGAGGAAAAACAGCCCTTTGCTTTCCCCTGCAGGTGCAGTGCCAGCAACGGGATTTCTCAAGCAGAGTGGCATCAACATCGACTCCAAAGGCTTCATTGTGGTCAACAAGGTGAGCCTGGTGTTGCAGCCCCCAGAGCTGCAGCTATCTTGGTCGCACTGGCTCCTCCAAGCTGGACTTGCCTCGGTCTCTGAACCACCAGCATGGTGACAGTCTGTCCCTAGATGCTGAGGTGTGAGGACTGCCATGCACTTGGGCCAGCACACCCTCCTTGAAGCTATAGGTTTGCAAAGCCCCAGCTCTTTTGGCCCTGGATGCTGTGGGTGTCCACACACACACGCCTCCTGCCCCTGGGGACCTTGGTGGGTCTCAGGCAGTTCCCTGTTGGCTGCTCCTGGAGGGTGCAAACCCCCCCAACATGCAATTCTGCTTCCCTCCTTCAGATGATGCAGACCAACATCCCCGGAGTGTTTGCAGCTGGTGACACTGTGATGTTCCCGCTGGCCTTGAGGAACAACAAGAAAGTGAACGTTCCTCACTGGCAGATGGCCCATATGCATGGTAGGTGCTTTTCAGTCCCTTTGCAGCAGCAAAAATTGCTTGAGGAGAAGAGCCATTTCCTGATACCCAGGAAATTTCCAACACTTTAAGAAGAGAATGAGAACTGAGGACATGGAAACTGTGTAGTGCATTCAACATTTGGAAATATGTATTTTATCCTGTTCGTTACCTATTCATTTGTCAGCCTTCTTGACATACGCACACTGACGATCACTCATGATGCTCATTACTCCTAGACCAAGGTGTCCCCAGGAGATCAGTCCCTACAGGAGCCTGATCTTTTCCTTGCCCTGGGGAGGGTCAGAAGCATTTCATCCTGCACTCATCAGCTCATAGGGTGAGAGGCTTGCAGGCACATGTCCCCAGCTGGGCTGCCCAGGGCTGGATCCTATAGCTCCCAGAGCGAGTGGCCAGCTCAGCACCTTGAGCATGTAGTGCTGATGGAGGTGAGGAGTCAGTAAGAGCTGCACCACTGGACAACTCCTCCAAGCCCAGCCATGGAGGATGCGTTGGGTTTCCTCTGTGAAGGTGCTTGTGCTGTATGGTTACTTTAGCTGAAGCAGAAGGAATTGGTCTTTCTGTGCTCCTGGACTAGAGATGCTGATGCTGATGCCCTGAGCTGTGCTGTGGCCTGAGGGCCCGATGCTTGCTCAGATTCAGGGCTCTATTGCTTATTCTGCTGTTTCTGCCTTCCAGGCCGTATAGCAGCACTGAACATGCTGGCCCATGGCACGGAGATCAGCACCATCCCCTACCTGTGGACTGCTATGTTTGGGAAGAGCATTCGATATGCAGGTGAGGGGGTACCCAGGGCTGCAATAGAGATTGTGCTGGCGGAGGTGCCCTGGGATACAGAAATCACAGCCACCTTCTATCTGTGTCCCCTCTGGGCCAGCCTCTGGTTCAGGTCTGCTTTCCTTCCTGGCTACATGATAGAAGCAAATAAAAACTAGAGCAAAACATTTGATCTGGAAATTGCTTTCTCAGAAACTGTCCTGTGATCGCGTGGGTTCATCCCTTTCCTTCTCCCCAACATTGAGGTCTAGGCTGGTACAGGTGTTGTCCCGAGGTCATTTCACACAAGACTGCACTGGGAGGTGCAGGAAGATGTAGGGGAGGGAGGTGTCACCTCAGGGTGCCACACAGGGGAGGAGGGACAGCAGCAGCGTGAAGCTGAAACTCCCCACCAGCGGCAGGATGAGGCTGGGAGGCTGGAGGGGAGCACGACCAGGGCCATCCACCTGCCTGTGGAACTGCAGGGCAGGGACTCACCTGCTCCAACCCATGATTTCTTTGTCTTTCAGGCCATGGGGAAGGATTTGATGATGTTGTGATTCAAGGGGACTTAGATGAACTGAAGTTCGTTGCATTTTATACCAAGTAAGTGTTTCTCTTCTCCGTGTCCCTACATAGTCATTTGTCTCAGCTTGTTCTGCTAGGCTGGAAAATATTTTTGCCTGAGATTTTTTCAGTCAGTTTTGTTTCTATGTGGACACTGATGATGCAGGACATGAATAAAACTGCACATACAGACGCATTAGTGCAAGGCACTAGAGAAATGTTGTGCTGAATGTAAAGCAAGTTAAGCAGTTCCTTGGACCTAGTATCTCTGCCAGATTTGTTCACCTGTCATCTGAGAGCAAATAATGGCTTCTGTTAATTTGTTTGCTCACTATTTCATTCAAAGATTTCCTTCCCATATTGACAATGTGTTAGTATTTGTGACCAAGGCTGGACCAGTCAGGCATCGCTATTTCTGTTTCTGGTTTGACAAGTTAAGCTTTGAAAACTCCCAGTCTATTAACAAGCTGTGAAAGTCAGCAAGAGTTCAGGAGCTTTTACTACACCTGGACTGAAAAGCAGCTATCCCCAAGGCTGGGAGACTGGGAATACTTTTCCTGAGATCTCTTGACAGCTGGGGATGTCAATAGCCATTGCCTTGGCTGTTTAGACAGCTGGCTGTTTCGACTGGAAAGACTATGTATTGTAAACTTATTCCCAGAATATTTGCTGCTGTTTGTTCCTTTGTTGCCTTTATCCCATTTCTTTCCAGCATACAATCTATGAACTATCACCCTATTCCTCCTTCCCATATCAGAGCACAACAGATTTAGCTATTTATCCCAACCCTAATTAGAAAGAAAATGCCAGGCCACTTTAATAAAACATCTGTAGAGCCCTTTCAAGAGGAAAGCCCTGAGCAAGGTGACTAATCCCCTGCGTGGTGCAGGGCCTCACACTGGGTCCGGCACTGACATGGGGCGGGTGCTGAGAGCTGCCTTCTTCTGCCACCCAGGAGGGGCCCCAGGAGATGGCTTTGGTGTGGTAGGACAGGCATCCTGTGCAGAGAGCCAGAGGTACTGCAGCTGGTGGGGCTCGGGCTGGTTCCTCTCTCACTGCCCAGCTGTGAGAGGTGACTGGGAGCATTTCCTGCTTTTCTTCTGTTTGGTGATAGTCCTGCTACTGGTACTAACGCTTTTGGATTGAGGACACTGTCCCAAACAGGCCACCTCCTCCTGCTTTCCACATCCACCTGATGGTTTGGACTTCTGGTGTGCACTGGTTCAGTTCCTGCATGAAACACTGGTGATGCCCATTCCCAGAGCCTGCTCTCAGCATCGACTTTCATAACAAAACTCTTTTATTTTCCAGAGTTTGAAGAATAACACTGTT